CTAAGAGAGACTCAGTACTTTGCAAAATGTGCTGTGTAAAACTATTTTTCTGGATATAAGTAAGATAGGTCTGGGTGCCAAATTGACACTAATTGACACCGATGGTTACATTGGTTAATAGTTCTAGCAACATTCAGGACCTATAGTTCATATTTTTCTAAAATAAAATATTCTGTACTTTCTAGCTTACAGATGTACATGAAACGCAGAAAATTTCAGTTATTAAATATACCATTTTGTGTATGTTACATGGGCTCCAAGTCTTAGCAATTAGCCAGTGAAAGAAGAAAAATCTGAATCTAGTATTGCATCAAGTAAATTCAGTGCTCACCACTTGAAGAAGCATATTTGTTGAAAATTAGTGTAGTAATTGCTGCATCCTTGCAGCAGTTATTTTGTATTGGATACTATATTACGGATTATTTGGAATAGTCAATACTGTTCTTGCTCTTGAACTCAGTATCTCATTGAGGGGGTATCATTCGTTGGATGTTTTCTTTAGCAAATCACATACTCAAACCAGTCACATGCACAAGAAAATGGGATTTACGTGGTAAAGGAGATGTCAGGTGATTAGGACCATCCCCTCAGGTCCAGCTTCTCCATGTTAAAATATAATTGAAGTGCTTAGACTATATAGAGATAACAGATACAATCTTTATCCATTCATTAGTATGGGAGGTGTTTCACTTGTGAGCAGTACTTCCTCCATATTTGAAGTGCCTTGTTTCAGCTCTGAAGGGCCCCCTTGATCCATTTCCTTTGACCTCAGAGGTTCTCAAGACCCACAGAAGAATTACCATGAAACCACATCAGGAAAACAATGTCTATTTTTTGGCTTCACTTTCTCAGGATTTGCATTTAATGTAATTTCCTTGAGAACAGGCCAGGAAGAAATGGTTCTATTAAAAATGAAAGGGTCACTTTAAGTAAGCTGCTAGTTTTTATAAATACCCAGATCGTCTTACTAGTCTGGGTATTTATAATTTTTATAAATATCCAGATGTCTTTTCTGTCTTCTGAAGAGAAAGAAAACACACTAGCTTTAAGTTGAGATTAAATCAGAGTTTTAGAACCTCCAAGTACATTAGGCAAAGTAAATACCTTCTCTGAGCCTCAGTTTCCTTGTTCATAATGCAGGGATGATAATACCTATATTATAAGCTAACACTCTCCCAGGTTGTATTTGGAGAATGCATTATAAGGTTGTAGAGAGGATGTCAATAATAAACGTGGGAGCTTACTATGTATTAGGCACTGTGCTAAAAGATTCCAATTACATCATTAGTAAAGGTTAGAGTGCAATGATGCCAAGCACAATGCCTGGCATGTAATATATAATTGATGTTAACTCCCATTTACTTTTAATTTCTCATTTAATTTACATTTAGACAAGTAGTCATTTAGTCTAATGTTTCTCAAACCTGCCCAGGCTCTACCCCAAACCAGTTAAATTAGATGCTAAGGTGCAGACAGGTTTGAGAATCATGGATAACCTTTCCTCCTCTAATGAGGGAATACCCACCCCCTAGTTTTGTTACATTAACTCAGAAATCTACCACCTTATAATATCCAGCTATGACAAAGTGCCTGGAATACAGTAGGCTCTGAGCACGTTTACTCCATATAACCCATGTAGAATTATAGAGTGGAATTAGCCTGACTGCACAAAAGAGCTCTTGTAAGTACTTGAAGATCATCATTATATGTATTGTACCCCTCACCTCCCCCCTCCATCATCACCAATAACCAACCACCTGGCTATGATTCCTGGTACTTAACCAACGCCATCATAGGAAGCAAGCTGACCAGTTCACCCAAGGAAGGGTGGGCCAGTATCACCTGAAAGAAATGTTCTTGCATAGATAAGTGGGTCTATTAAATTGTTTACTGCTTTGGATTATGCAGCTCTTAACAAGCCTGTAGCATGTGGCTACAAGCAGCCTGTGTTAGAAGGTTCTACCTGGCTATATATATCACACCTCCTTCCTCTTTCCACGAGGAAATTGACTGTCTTGCTGTTCCACAGAGTCCGCTTCTGTCCATAAGTTCCCTTAAACTTGTTTAATTCTGGAGTAGTCTCTCCAGTCTCTTGGCCCTGTCCTTTGGAGGTTGGTTTCAGTACACCCCTGCAAGTTTTCCCAACAGATACCAGACAAAACAGTACAAACTATATAATTGATACATGTGAAGTTTAGTAGCCTAGGAAACTTCTCTATGGTGATAGAAATCCAAAGTGGTTGCCTGAGGACTGGGGACAGTAACTGGGAAGAAGCATGAGCGAATATTCAGGGGTGACAATAAAGCTCCATATCTTGATTTGGGTGATAACACAGAAGTACTCATTTGTTAAAACTTGTCAAATTGTGCACTTAAGGTTTATGCATTATAGTGTATGTCAATTATAACCTCAATAAACAACATTTTAAAATATTGTTGGGAATTCAAAACTGGAACTCCATTTGTCCATCTCCAGTGTTTTGACTCCTGTGCTTAAATAAAAGTTGCTAACTCTACTTGCGAGACCTTATATGCAAGTTGTTCTTACTGCTGTATAATATCATTTATAATTCCAATCTTGGGGTTACTTTTTAACTTTTTTTCTCTCAATTTCAAGCCAAAGTTGATCTCTCTAGAGATTCCATTAACTTACAAACTTATAAGTTATGTCATACTCTGCTCACTAAAGTTTAATCTGCTCAGAACAGTATGTCCTGAAGTACTGACTTAATAATTTCCCTGGGGCACTCTCAATCTCCCTGAGTTTCCCTTTCCATTTCTGCACATTCAAGTGCCTACAAGATGCTTCTCTGACCTTCCTTATTCGGGCCCTTCTCTCTGACTCTTCAGCTCCAGCCTACTCCTTTTCCATTACCTTAAAGCAGTGGATCACAAACCGTGGTCCCCAGACCAGCAGTGTCAGCATCACCAGAATCTTGTTAGAAATGCAAATCTTAGAGCCCCATTTCTTACCCTACTGCATCAAAAACTCCACAAGTGGAGCCTAGCAATCATGTTTTAACCAGCACTTCAGGTCATTCTGATGCATGATAAGGTTTGGGAACCTAAACTCTACTGCTACTCCTGCTTCATCTCTAGTTGACTGTTTCCATTATAAAAACAAGCCCAGGCAGCCATGGCTCAGCAGTTGAGCATCGACCTGGGATCCAGGAGATCGAGGTTTGATTCCCGGTCAGGGCACATGCCCGGGTTGCGGGCTTGATCAGTGACTCTCTCGTCATTCATGTTTCTATCTCTCTCCCTCGCCTTTCCTCTCTCTGGAATCAATAAAGATATATTAAAAAACAAAACAAAAAACAAAAGATATTTACCTACAAGCAAGGCAGAGTGGTGTCAAAGAATAACTCCAAGTCACAAAGTCAATTGCAGCACATTATTCATTTGTTCACATGGAGGGTAAATCATCAGATTGATTTTTACCCCACAAAGGCAAAAGCCGGATTTATTAAAGCAAAGAGGAAAGGAGAGAAAAATAATTGTAGTCTGGGAAGAATGAATCTCGTTTGCACAGTTTTTGATTGGGTAACTGATTAGCTGGCAGCAGTCATCTGGACAGTCTGTCCCTGAGTAGGCTGACTAGGGGGTATGAAAATTATTGTTTATGAATTCTCTGGAAAGTCTTTGTGAGCTAAACTGACTCTGAAGGACAGGCTGTTTCTCTGTAGTGTTTGCCAGTGTCTTTCCATCAGCACCTCCTTCTTAGTTGGACAAAATCTGCACTACTTTCCTCACTAGAAATCTCAGTATACCTGTTGCTTTTCTCTAAATCCTTTCCCCCTACATCCTTACTTCTTACTGGATTCTCCTCTGAGCCCTTATTTGAAAATGATCATAATCTGGGGTGCTCTGTAGTGGAGTTTCTATTTCAATGAGTTATAATCATCATAATTTTCTAATATGAATTTCAGATGTTAAACGAAAATATGCAAACTGTTTTCCTTCCTCCTTGCATTTTTCCAAGGACTAACACCAGTATTTTCACACTGACAACAGATAGCAGTGACATCACTACCTAATGAACTGTATGAGCTGACTCAAAGAGACAGTAACTTTTCTTACAGTTGAAGTAAATATTTTAATATTTTAAATATTACTTATTTTAATTAAGGTAATTAATAGCTTCCGTGCCTGCAAACAGTGCATTATTGTTTCTGCCCTCCAATGAATGATCATGGAAGCCAATGAAGCAGCATTTTTTTTAAGATTAAGATTATAACCTGAGGATAAGCAACATATAATATGCATAATTTTAAAAATTAAAATCTTCTGAGATTACATTTCTTCCAGAAATGCTTAAAGGCTGAATTTGCACGCTCGTGGGTGTCTGAGTCATCCCTAAATAAGGAAAATACAATATTTTTCTACTTATATTGACTAAAAGTGAAGAGGAAATAGTGTCCAAATGCTTTGTAGGTGTTGGCCAAAGATTATAAACTGTAAAATTGAAATTATCCTTTATTATGTCTTCTTAGGATGAGAGAAGTTTTCCTTTCAGTTGCTCCTAGTTATTTAAATGATCACACTTAACACAGTAACACTTCGCTTTTCTTAAGTCAAACTCCGTTCATCTCAATTCCTCGGAAATAGCCAGGAATCTGCACATTAAAGAAGGCAGGCCTGTTAATCGCTGACTCCACTGTGTACATGAGCAGCCCTAAGGAGCTGACTTGAATGGACAACTAACCTCTGAGGCGAGCACTGTAAGACAACAGCTTAGCTCAGGCGCCTCAGGAACGCACTCACTGCCTCAGGAATCCTCACCCACGCATTCGCACCTGCTGGAGCGGGCCGCCGCTGCTCACGGAAACCCAGCCGCCTCCGGACGGACGGAGCTGGGACGCTCGCTAACGTAAAGGGACGGAACGCCCGCGACGCGGCGCGCGAACGCGGAGCCGCCGGCTCTCGCGCGACGTCCCGACGCTACCGTCCCGACGTTCCCCGTTGCCATAGCAGCAGCCTCCCCGGACGCGAAGGGAGGGTGGGGCGAGGGGCGGAGCACCGCTTCTGCAGAGAGGAGGCTCGCGCTCGCCCTGCGGGTCTGACTGCTACCAAAATGAGCGGGCTGGGTGAGGCCAGCCGCCCTTCTGTCTCCAAAACCCGCGGCCCCGCTGCTCCTGACCATGCCCCGGGACACGCGGACCTAAACCTGGGCCACGGGGAGGAAACGGAGGCGACGCAGGAGGCGGCGCGAAAGGGTGAGGGCGGCTCGGAGGCCCCTGCGGAGGGGGGCGCGGCCCCGGCCCCCGCGGGCTGCGGCCCCGTGCTCCGCATTCGGGTGGTTAGGAGTCGTGAGGCCGCGCCTGAAGCGGGCCAGAAAGAGGCTCAGCCTCCCGCAGAGGGCGTGGAAGCCGCCGCCGCCGCCGCCTGCCCCTCGGGGGCTGCGGACAATAGCCAGGAAGATGGTGGCCAGCCTGGAGAGCCGAGCGGCCCTGCTGGGGAGAAAGCTCTAGAAGCCTGTGACGCAGAGGGATTGGGGTCTCAGACGGTGCCTGGGGCCAAGGCCAAGGAAGTGATGACAAAGAAGCGCGCCATCTCGGCGACGGCCGAAAAGGAGGGAGTGGCCGAGGGGCTGCTGGAGGAAAAGAAGGCGATGGAGAAGGAGAGAAAGGTGGCAGGAGGAGCGAAAGAGGAGGCGCGGGCCAGGGCCCCGAAGGTCAATAACTGCATGGACTCCCTGGAGGCGATCGATCAGGAGCTGTCAAATGTAAATGCCCAGGCGGACAGGGCCTTCCTTCAGCTGGAGCGCAAGTTTGGCCGGATGCGAAGGCTCCATATGCAGCGCAGAAGTTTCATCATTCAAAATATCCCTGGTTTCTGGGTCACTGCCTTTCGGAACCACCCCCAGCTGTCACCTATGATCAGTGGTCAAGACGAAGACATGATGAGGTACATGCTCAATTTGGAGGTGGAGGAGCTTAAACACCCTAGAGCAGGCTGGAAATTCAAGTTCATCTTTCAGAGCAACCCCTACTTCCGCAATGAGGGGCTCGTCAAGGAATATGAGCGCAGATCCTCTGGCCGGGTGGTGTCTCTTGCCACTCCAATCCGCTGGCACCGGGGCCAGGACCCCCAGTCCCATGTCCACAGGAACCGGGAAGGCAACACTATCCCCAGTTTCTTCAACTGGTTCTCCGACCACAGCCTCCTAGAATTCGACAGGATTGCTGAGATTATCAAAGGAGAACTGTGGTCCAATCCCCTACAATATTTCCTGATGGGTGATGGGCCCCGAAGAGGGTTTCGAGACCCAGCAAGGCAGCCAGTGGAGAGCCCCAGGTCCTTCAGGTTCCAGTCTGGCTAGCTCCTGACCTGTGAGAAGCTCCTGCACAAGTTTCCTTACCACCTCCTTTTGGATTCTGTGCTTAGCCACCAGCATGCAATCTTCCATCTGCTTTCTCTTCACACTGGATTATTTTGTTCTTTGGCTCTTCTAAATCTTCAATCAGTTGCAAGATTGCTGCTTCTATGTCTATGCTGTTCTTCCTCTCGGCCTTCTTGCTGTTCTGTGAAGTGTTTCAACTGCATGGCCTTCCACTGCTTCTGTGCCAAGCACACGATGCTGTAGATATGCACTGACTCCTGTTGCATGCCTTGGGCCCTGTGACAATGGTCTTTTCCCAGGTTTTTAAGTGCTTATCTACCACAGGTTAACTTGATATATATCTTTTCAAATAACTAGCTGGGCTTCATACTTGACGCTGCTGTGCTTCTGATACCCTGCACTCTATGGCAAGATCTTTGAGTTTCACCTCTGCAGGAAGAAGCTGATATAGATGATGTCAGCCATCAACCCAAAGTGGGCATCCGAGGCTACCACTAACTGGCTCCCAGCTGCCTCCCTGGGCCTATGCCATCCAGCCTGCTGGCTATCTGGCAGAATAAGCAGGTGGCTGGTGGGTGGCTACTAGGCATGAATAAGGTAACAGATGAGAGGTATACTGTGTCATGTTGATCTTCTTACGTCTTTGGTCATTCTGCATTGTGACCAGGTACTGGTGAGTATGAAAGTCTGTGCTGTGGTCTACCCAAACCTATTTTCAGTCTTTTGGGTGAGTTTGCCTGGTACCATTGCCTGCTTCCTTGGGAACTATCTGTGGACTGAAGCCCCAGGCAACACATAGGAACCCCACCTCCCTCCAAATGGTTACCTATAAACCCAACTTGCTGTCAGGAAGGTTGAGCAGTCGTATGTGACAGTGCCCAAAGGAAGGGATTCCTTCCAACAGCCTTTCTGAGTCCTGGTCAGTAAACCACCTTTAATCTAGGCAACTTTGTTAGGCATCCCCTGCCTAACCGCTCCTGGACCTATTCTTAACATGGCAGAGTTGCCAGGGTGGGTGCACTGAGGAAGATGTATTTCTCCCTATCCCTCCTCCCCCCTCCCTCCTTTCCC